AGAGAGTTCTATGTGGTCCCAGGGGGTATAAGATTAAAACCAGCAGTTGGTCCCAGTACTAAGTAAAAAAGAAAAGACTATCTAAAGGAAATTTTTCATGTTCACAGCAGTTTTCCCATTTAGAAACACTGAGCGCAGACTTAGAACAGCGAACTGAACATAAGCACAGTTACAGGTGATGAGGAGAGCCGGAAAATTCACGAGTTTCATAAAAACCACAAGATGAATTTTTCCCCTACAGCCACGTGGCTGTGTGGGGAGGCCACTCGGGAGACGTGGAGCCCCCCACCAGCATGCCAGGCTCCAAAGAAGGCCAATCTGGGGGTGTTTGTCTCCATGCCTGGCAGGAAGAACTCAGGAATAAAACACTGGTTTGGTCATATTCGAGCGGGGATATGGCTGTGCCTGGCACCAGATGTCCCTGAGAATTGTTGGCCTTTGCAGAAACTGTCCAAACCTCTAAAAAGAATGGTAGACCCAGATGCAAAAATCGCTGTGTGTTTATGGCGCCCAGGTGACGGCCTTTCCTTTGAATTGGAGGTTGAAATGGTTTCATTTGTGTCACGGCATCCTCTTTAATTTCTGTCCCTTTTAAATTTAGTTCTAAGGCAGGTATGCAGGGCTCTGATGATTTCGTTGTCTTTTGCCTGTTTGTGAAAGGCACACCCGTGTGTTTTTGTTTATTTTTTTTCTTCCAGCTCTTGACGTACTAGTTGAAATGTCAAGACTTCTGTGTGCAAAGGCAAACCAGGAACTCTGGCTGTTCCCATCTAGCTCTGCTGAGAGGGCGGGTTGGCGGTTTTCCGCACTATGTGTCAGAGGGACTTTGCTAATGAAAGGGCTTTACATTAGGTTAAAAAAAATGCTGCAGAAGGAACGAGAAAGGTTCAGATCAAAGGGCAGACGCTCATTTATAGCACATTTTCATGGGCTAGAACAGCCTCACATGATCTGTGACATTTGGCCACAATGGAGAGAATTTGGAGAGCAAGTGAGGTCAGGTGGGCGTCTTGGGAGAGAAACACAGAGAAATACTATAAAACCTGGGCAGTTAAGCGGAAAAATCAGCATCTGCCAGCTTTCTGTTTTCTTTCTTGTTTTTTTGATTCTGGGGAAATCGTGTGCTCACACGTGTGTATGTGCGTGTGCGACCTCAGCTTCGGCAGTGAGAGAGGGGGCGGAAAGGAAGCTGAGCCCTCCAAAGCCAGTGAGCTGACTAAACTCAGTGCCACCTTCGAGCTGCAAGTGTAACGACACAAGCTGCCATCTCAAGGTGAAACGCTGTTCATTTCTTCCTCTCTGAGTTGGTATACAAAAGAAAAGCCAGTCCTGAAAAGGCCAGCCTCTCTGTGTCTACCACACAGCGTCTTGCTCACAGGCCTGAGGATAGGACCCTCCAGAGTCCTCGGGCCCCCACGCCAGGTGTGTGCAGAAGCTACTGGCCGGCTCTGCAGAGGCCCTCCCCTGGGGGACTGTGTGGGTGTCAGCTTGTAATAAAGGACTCCAAGTGAGTCGGCCGCTTTCATCGTGGTTTGTGTTTAGTCTTTGTTTCTTAGTAAGACCTACAGCCATGTCTGAGTTTACCGCAGCGTCTGGCATGAACACTGCAGGGCCTGGCCTCTCCCCACCTTCCCTCTGCATCCCAGTTTTGGAGGACTGTGATGGAGTTAGGTGGCTCAAGAATTTTTTAGGGGTGGACCCCTCTAGAAGGATGGAGAAGAAACTGAATCGAGGAAAGAGAGAAGTGAATTTTGAGGTAGGCTGGACAAAGCCTTAGCTGCCCCTGTGGGGGCCTGAGACAGATGTCTGGCATTGGACTGATACCACCAGGCCTCCTCCACACCCACAGCCACCACCTATTGCCTGTGGACCCCCATGAAAGGGTGGCCTCTGGTGGGGCTGCTCCCTGTACCTAAGGCAAAGCCCAAGCAGCTGACCCCTGGAATGAGGAGCCTCCAAGTCCCTGGGTGGGATCTGGGTGGCATCTCCATGTCCCCCATGGGGTTCAGGTCTATTTCTTCATACCCAGCCAAGGATCAGCCCTTGTAGGGTTGTCTGGGGCTTCCTGGGGAGAGCTTGGAACAAAGAGGTCAAGAGCCCTCTCCAGCCCACAGCACTAGTTTCACCAAGACCACGGAAGGAACACTAGGCCACCCCCACCACTGTTCATCCCAGATCCCCCTGGCCTCTGCTATCACATCTCAGGCCTGTGGTCAGCCTGGTGGAATGACCCAGACGGTCCTCCCTGAAGGGTCACACTCCTCTCTCCATCTCTTCCCAGGTGGGCTGCAGCACACGCTTTCCCCTGACAGTGGGGCAAGGGAGAGCAAGGAGGGATGCCCAGGTGGGCACTGCTCCTGCTTGTCCCAGGCAGCCCGGCCTCCTCCCCGCTTCTGATGACCGTGGTCTGTTCTGCAGGATGGTGACCAGGCCTGCCTGCAGGTCTCCAGGCAGTGGCCATATCTTAGAGTTTGATGGGACTCATATCATTTTGAGAAAATACACCTCCTTTGGGGACCAAGACCCGGACCCTGCAGAGTGCAGAGACAAGGGCACAGGAAGCACACAGTGACCCAGAGTGTCACAGGGTGATGGCCAGTGGGCCCCCCCGTCCCACTCCATAGCCGTCTGGACCACACATTCCCCTCATGGGGACAGGGCTGCTGGCTGAGGTCCTGCCTTGAAGGAGAGGGCTCTGGTCTTTGTGGGAGTCATCTCCAGGCGAGCCTCTCAGATGCCCCTCCCCAGCCCCAGCAGGCAGCAGCTCCTGGCACACTACATGTGACCCCCAGCTCCTCCGTGGTTGCGGGCACACTCAGTGCTTCCTCTGCTATGTGGTGAGCCCCGTGACTGACCTGGACCCACACCGAAGGGCTCAGAAATGAGCTCGCAGCCAGCGGTGGCCAGAGGCTGGGTGGGCAGGAAGGCAAGCCGATGGCCAGAGTGTGTCCTGGTTCCTATCATTGTCTCTGAGCCTTCTACGTGGCTGGGACATCAGGCTGTCAGCTTCTCACCAAGCCACAGGTGCAAACCCTGCGGGGATGTTTTATCCTGGGCTGGCTGCTCCCGACAGTGGGACGTGCAGCCTCAGCAGCAGCAGCCAGATCAGCCCGGTTAGAAGAGCTCTGGTTGGGGCCCTGGGAGCCTCCCTCTCCCTCACTGCACCTCTCCACCCATGGGCCCATCGCGTCAACGCAGAGGTGGCCGGTAGACGGGGCAGGGGACGCCAATCGGCTGAGTCCCCTGTGTGCCTGGCCCAACGTAACTGCTTCTTCTCTGCTCCTGATAAAGCCAGTTTGGCAAAGACTCTCCCCCACTGAGGTATGTGACCACGCTTAGTACTGTGTCACCCAGGCTCTCCTCCAAACTGTAATCCAATTAAGTCAGTTTAGCCAGAAACCTCTGATCCTCAGTGTTCCTCTTGGTGATCATCTACCATCCCCTGCCCTGCTCTGTGGTCATAAATCCCTGCTTGTCCTTGCTAAAGTCAAAGCTGAGTCCAGTCTGCCTCCCGCTCACCATCCCAAGACCTCCTTGCAGGAGTCCCTATACCACTCTCCTGGGCCTCTTTGAATAAAGCCTGCCTTAGCACCTGAACAAGGATTCGGATTAATTTTCTTTTTAACAGTGACTGTGGCCAAACTTCCTATTCTCATAAGGACACAGCCATATTGGATTAGGGCCCACACCACGGATCTCGTTTTAATCTAATGACCTTGTTGAAGACAGTATTTCCAAATGTAATCACGCTCAGCGGTGCTGGGAGTTCAGACCCCAGAATTTTAAGGAGGAAAGAATTCAGCCCACGACAGCCCAGAAGCCCCTTTGAAGTACCACTGATTTCTTTCCTGCCTCCTCTACAGGGCGCTGGGCTGGGCTGGGAATGCTGCCTTCCCCGCCTCTGTCTGTTCACCGCCTCCTCCTTCCCACCCTCCAGTTTCCACCTACTCTGAACCACTGCCCAGAAGGCCAGGCTTTGTGGGCGCATGTGGGTGCATGCTGATGTCACATGATGTCAGTGACCTAGGCCAGTGCATAGCCCAGGTCAGTGGGAGAATAAAACATGACCGCACACCCGAGGGCACAAAGGATGGACACGCAGAGGAGGGCTTGGCGTGGGGAAGGGGGATGACGTTCTGCATGTTAATGAACCCGCAATATAATTAATGGACACCTGGGAGCAGGCATATTCTGCCATGGTGAGCTCCGGCGGGTCCTGGGTTACTCCATCTTGCTTGGAGAAACCAGGGAAAGACTTTAAAAATTAGGTGAGTTGCTGAGCTGGAGGGCTGCAGGTGACTTCAGGCCCAGGGGACCTGGTCTCTGGCCTCTGTCCTCCTGAACCCCCCTGGTCCCGGCAGCACCAGTCTGCTGTCCTGGCGTCATTCTGGCTGCCTTGCGATTGCTGGGTCTAAACACAAATGTTGGGTTTATTCCACCTAAAATTGAGCCTCTTGTCCCCTCTGTTGCGGGTCATCCTCCATTCAACCTCTGCTCCATTATTCTGCCTGCTGCTTGGCCTGGGATATTCCTGTTATCTTTGCATAGGAAAAAAGGGCAGAAGGGCCCCTCGGGTGGCTCCCACCTTGAGGCTCCCCTTCCAGCTCCAACACTGGCTCCTGCTTGGGCTCCACTACACTTTCCGAGACAATTTCCTAAATGGCTTTTCTTTCTCTCCAGTTCCTTATTCTGTCTCCAGTCATGAATAGCACTGGTTTGTATTTCTAATTTTTATTTAAACATTAACATGTGCGTGTGCAAAGCAGTGAAACCACACCTCATATCTGTGTCCCGGCTGCCTGACGTCTCCCAGAGGTGGCTCTGTTCACCTTCCCTCTGCCACCTGCCTTCCTTTCTGCCTGGACTTCCCTGCTGAGACCTCAACTCCTAACAAAGGTACCAGAGGCCACATTGACCAAGCAGCCTGAGCACTGGCTCTCAGGGACTTCATATCTTGACCCCCAGGGGTCCACTGGGTGCTGTGCCCCATCCCTGGAATGCTGGCTCCCGGGCAGTGCTCTGTCCACTGGATTCTCCCACTCATAATGAATGAAGGAGCCTGGCTTTGGTGTCTTCCCTGGGTACCCAGCCATACCCCTTCTCTTTCCGCCTGGACCACTGCCTTCCAGTGTGGCTCTGTGTCCAGGGGGCTCCAGGGTCAATGGCAGACCTTTTATTCTGCCTCTGGGGCTACTGTGTACAAAAGGAATATCTGAGAAATGTATCCTGAGTGATCCAACATCTGGAATCGCTTCCCTTTTGTGGCACCTGTCCCCACAGTTTCACACTTTATCATTTCCCCACCCAATTCCCCACTGATGCCTTCATCTGATGGACAGGAAATGGAAGCTGAGGCCGCGTGAGTGACCCTGGAGAGACAGTGAGCACCCAGGAGCTTGTCGGTGCCCTGGGGCCCTGTGCAGGGAGGAAGCGGAGCCCTGGCTGTGTTGGGATGCAAACTGCTGTGTGCTCCAAGACAACCCAGCTTGCTGGCATTTGAGGCAGAGAGGCAGGAGATTGGGAGAGAAGCCTCATCTGCTATAGGTCCATGGCAAGGACAAAGGAGAGTGCCGGGAGCTCTGGGAACCAGGTGCGGAGCAAGGGCCCCAGGTGAGGAGCTGGGGCTGGAGTCAGTGTTGGGGTAGGATTGGGTGAAGGAAGAACTGAGTGGATGGGCTTCCTCTGTCCAGCGTACCACTCTCCTGGAGCATCAGACCAGAAGGGCTGGAGCTACCAAAGGGCAGGCTCACTCACCAGTACCAGCGTGCTCGTGGGCTGTGGTGGACCACGGTCCACATCGACAGCTCTGCCCTTGAAGGTGAAGGGGTGCCAGGACTCTGGGGGCAGTCAATGGGGAAGAGCTCCACAGTGTCCCTGGGCAGCTGTGACCACCACAAACTGCAGCACCAGAGCACCAGCCACAAACATTGGTTCTCTCACAGTCCTGGAGGCCAAAAGCTCAAGATCAAGGTGTTGAGAGCGCTGGTTTCTTCCCACAGCTCTGAGGGCGAATTTGTTCAGAGCCTGTGTCCGAGCTCCCTTGATCTACAGGCCCACCACATGGATCCCGCCTCTCCCTCTCACAGTGTGCTCCCTGCGTCTCTGCTTTCACTTCTAGTAAGGACCTCAGGCACTGGACTGGGCCCACCCCATCCACACACCTCATCTGAACTGATGACAGTACAAAGGCCCTCTTCCAGATAAGGGCCCATTCCCAGGGGCCAGGGCTTTGGCACGTCTTTGGGGTGACACAGCTCCCACCACAGATGGCTGTCCTTTGGTGCCTCCCCTGGGTACCCCACCACACCCCTTCTCTTTCTGCCTGGACCACTGCATCCCAGTGTGGCTTAACTGTGCCCAGGGGCTCCAGGGGCAATGGCAGACCTTTCATTCTGCCCTGTATGTACCCTGTGGCCTTGTGACTCTTGCTAGGAGGCCCGTGGCGGGGGGTTAGGCATGTGCATGTTCAATCACTGGAAGGACGACCCCTGGCTGACCCTTAGTGGTGCAGTCTGGAATGCTGTAGCCACAGAATGGGGAGATGGAAGGGGCTCCACAAAAGCCCTTGGTTTGCACAGGGTAAAAGTCCTCAACGGGAGCCCCGGTACCTCTGCAGGAGGCCTCCAGCCAGTACACGGTAGCCAAGCATCAGTTGCAGTGTGGCAGGTGACTACCCCTGTGTGAGGACAGAGCAGGGAGGTGGAGTGTGTGCCTGGGGCACTTCTGGGCAGGATCAGGTCCCCTTTGTGGCAGGTCCATCTGGTGATGCTGTGTGATTAGTTTTAAGAGCTTTGAACCACTGAATTCTGGGTGGATTCTGGCCACGATAGCCAAAGACTCGTGCTCGGGAGGAAACCCACACACGAGGCCTGGCTCTCTGCACTGCCCACGCTGCTGCCGGCTGCGGGGGTCTCAGTGCTTCCACCACACATGAGAGCCGAGCAAACTGACAGGAGCTGGGATCGTAACTAAAGCTACTTTCCGTCGGAGAACCCTAGTGTTAAGGGAGAACTGCAAACTCGGAGCTCCGGTGTGCGCCGGCTTTGTTTCAGGGAAGTTTCAGGGCACCTGTGCACGGCCGGGAGCATCGCACCCCACATCCCTATAATCCTTCCCCCTTGACAGCTCCTTCCAGATTCCACAGGCCTCTCACTGCAGGTCTCCTGTGAGCTGTGCCAAGCCTTGGTCTCCTCGGAGAGTTCAGGGCCCGACCTCTGTGAAGGACAGGAAGTGACCTCTTCAAGGTCCAAAGGCCACGAAGGGAAGGCATGAGGGCCAGAGCCCAGCCTCTCAGCTGCTGCCTCATACAAAATGCTTATTGACAAAAGTGTCCAGGCTCTGGCAGATCAGAACCACTCTTACTTTGTACAGGGGACAGACTGTGGACCATCAGCTCTCCATGCGTATCTTCTATTGAGTCAGTCAAATTTCATGCTTGTGACTCAAGGCAGATCTAACTCTAATTAAACAATGAAACAAACAGGAACGCTGTGCTGGGTGCCGGCCACCAGGGGGCAGTTCCCAGACATCATCTCTGGTCCTGACAGTCGCTCAGGCTGCTGCTGAGATCATCCCCATTTAACAGAGGATAAGACTGAGACTGCCTCAGGTCAGCCACCCCGACCACAGGACCCGGCACAGACTCAGACCCGTCAGAGTCCCGGGGCTGAGCTTTTTCTACTCGATCACACTGCTGCTTAACGACGCCAATGTGAGACTCCACTGTGGTTCTCAAACGCCTCCCCAGCATCAGGAGCTGTAAGATGAGAGTAAGGTACGGAATTAGCAGGGGGAACGGAAAGGAGCCTCATGATTAAAGAGATTCTATTAAAGCTCACATGTATATTCAGGTTTTGCTGCTTGAAAATTACAAGAGAAATGTCTTTCCCCAAAAAATAATAAAAAATTGCTTTCATATTTAATGAGGGATGCAAAACAGTGTCCCAGTCGCAACTTTGGATCCTAGTTCCACCTCAAGAAAGTGGTAGTGACCTTGTGAACCTCAGCAGATAATTGATCTCTCTTTGTCTCATCACATCAGCATCATGAAGAGAATTCCACCTCCCCACCAGAGGGCCGGTCAGCAAATGAATGAAATACCCCACTCTTGGTGATATCTGCATGATTAGCCAATGTTAGAAAATGTTACCTATTTTTATTATATCATTTGCTAGAGAGAGTTTCTGCTTCGAATATCTAAAAGATGGTATTTGAGAATTTTTAAATAATTTAAATAAAATACTTCAATTATAATAATTACTGTCCCTGAAATTTAGAAAAAAAATACTGGAACCATAATTAAAACATTTATTATTGACACTGTTGCACTTTGACAAACCTCATGTTTAATCTAAAACCAGCAAATGCTTTCTGTTCAGCTGAAAATATTCTACAATTTTAGCTGAGATACTTTAAAAGTAGGAGCTTTTACCTGTAAAGGCAGATTTCTGGTTTCTCTGGAAAGTTGGGAACCCCTGGAAGCCTTGGCCCATATTCCCATACTGTGGTACCCAGAAGAAGGACGCCCCCTCACCACAGTGCAGTTGTCCACATTGGGGCATGTGGCCTCTGCCACACCAGGGCCCCAACACCCCTTCCAGTCCCCTCCTGTCCCCTTGGGCATCACTAACTTACTAACTTACCTTCTGTGTAACTGTCTTAATCTAGCATGTAACAGAATATGTATCTGCACACAGTTAAGCATTATCAGATGGAGAACAAGCCAAAGAAAGAATGAACCCCACCTGTGTATTTGTTTATCTCCTGCTAACCCACGGGACGCCCTGCACTGGGCTTCCTCGGATTGGAAGGCCTTGCCGTTGGGTTTCTTACTCTTTGCTGATACTCTGGGAAAGAACAGAACTAGTTTGGATTGCTACAGTGCTGATATGATGTGTTCCAGAGTCTCCTGCTGTCTCTTTGCTCTTGACTCTCCCTGGCTCCAGCCCTGGCCTTTCAGAATCACCTTAGCCTCCTCATCCAGCACCAGGGAAGACTCCAGGTGGGCCGGTCTCCCTTCCTCCCTCCTGGAGGCTTACCAGCAAAGTAATGATGCTTCCCAACGCAGCAGAGAGCTGGCTCTTTACAACACTCGCGCTTCCCTGACATCTGTGTGACAGTTTTTATGCAGCCCTCAGGTTCTGACGCCTCTTCTGGTCACTCCTCTCCCCCACCTTTTGGGTACCTGGTGGAGAGGGCAGCTCGGGGCAGGTTGCCAATTAAAAGAATGAAGGAAAAAAAGGAATGATTTCCCCATCAGTGACCCTCAGACGGGCCAACAAAGAAGAAAGTGAAAAGCGCTGTGGAAAAGGGTGGGGTTTCTCCAGCCCCCCGCGTCCGCCTGGACTTTTGTATTGTTTTATCAAACATGATTGAAGATTTTTCCTGGTCGGGACTGTGGCTGAGTGCAGAGGAAGATTTTTTCCTGGTCGGGACTGCGGCTGAGGTCCTGGGATGAGTACAGAGGACAGGAGAAGGAGGTAAGAGAGGTGAGCCCTGTTCCCAAAGGGCCACACTCCAAGGGGGTGAGAACAACCAGTCATGGGGACGCGATCTAAGAACTTTGCTGCTGGGTGGGCTTTTGTTGTGTGACCATCACAGAGGGAGCACACACAAGTCAAGCCACACAGTGAGGCTGTGTGGTGTGGCCCACCACCCAGTTGTGACTGTCCTGAATACTGCAGGCCCCTGCAACACTACGGCACCTGTCCATCTACACATATCTAAACATGGTGAACGCGGGTAAAAATGCGGCATGAAATAAAAAATGACACCCCTATGTAGGGTACTTAACCTGCATGGAGCTGGAAGGACGAGAAGGACGCTGCCCTGGGGCAGTCGTGCGTGAGTGGTGCATGATTGTGACGGCCCACAACATCACTGTACTCAGCTGGAGACTGAGTCATACACACTGGACACTGGGGAAAGGAAAAAAATTATTTCTTTATTAATAAATTAGACTTTAGTTTCATTATTTTCCTTATAAACTTTAAATTTTTAACTTTTTGACTCTTTGGTAATAATGTATCTTAAAACACAAACACTCTGTATAGCTGTACAAAATTATCTTCTTTCCTTACATCTTTTCTCTATTTTTTTCCTTTTTTACTGTTTAAGATTTTCATTAAATATGAAGACACAAACACACACCTTAGGTTCAGCCTACACGGAGTTGGGATAATCGAGACATCTGGGCAATGGGGAGTTTTCTGTTATGACTTTTCTGTTAAGACCACATTGCACAGGTGATCCAGTGTCGAGTGATGCGTTGTCCCGAAGCATGTGACAGCACACACCCATTCAGACAGCACAAGGGGGACGGACGCAGCCCAGGAGTGCCCAGCACCGGAGGTCTTGGAATCCTTCACAATGTGCCCAAGGCTGGGCACACACAGGGGACAGTGGCTTTTACTGCTCTCTCGCCTGTCTGATCAAGCGCAGCCCAGTGGCAGGGAGAAAGTGGACACGCTTTCTGGGAGGAAGGCCAGAGAGGCCGTGTGGCCATTCTCCTATAGTTGTGGTTTTCACAAGGGTGAGATAAAGTCAACACAAGGGGCACCACCCCAACAAAGGAGTCCCTTCCTCTTGTAGTTTACAACAAGTGAGAACAGGAGTCCGTCTTTGCTTACTCTCTAAGCCCCAGACCAGAAAAATTCTGAGGGAGCAAGAGAGAGGATGTGGTGGGGGTGGTGATGGGCCAAGGAAGGCAGGCAGGAGGAAAGGGCTCTGGTCAGACACCTTGTGTGGCCGGGATCAGGCCAGGAACCCAGAGGGAGACTGTCTCAAGGACAGCCCACGGTCAGCTGGTCTGTGGAGGGCAGTGCACCGTCCAGCCTGAGCCCTCAGCACCTCAGCTCCAGGGTGACATCTCCACTGGGGTCAATGGCAGGAAATGACAAGTGCACAGGCTGATCTCTGCCCCTCCCCAGCACCCCACTCCCCAGCCTCCCAGCAGGGTTCATGCGGGAGCTCCTGGATTATAAGAGCCCTCGAGCCATGGGCACAGCTGCAGATTCTGCCCACCACAGTGACCCACATAGCAAGGGGGTTCAGCCGGCTGTCCTCCTGAGACATACTTGGCTGTGCCACGGGGTCTCCCAACACTGGAGAGGGTCAGAAGCTCACACCCCCCCATGCAGGGTTCTGATTGGGCATGAGATCTTGTGTAAAAGTCCATGAAATGTTGATCCCCATCACAGGACCCTGAGTCGTGGCCATCTTGGCAGAGCAATCCAGGATCACAGCCAAGATGCCAAGTACGGTCTGCGTGCTCTGAAAACCCCAACCTTTAAAATCCATTCTGAAGATGTGATTTAATTAAATATTATGTGCTTGAAAGTGGTTCAAATTAGTTTATCCATTTCTGACGGCTGTTTCCCACGTGAGCATACGCATTTATTAACAACGCAAAATGCCCAGACTGTTAGCATGCTAGGATAAAATACTTTTATGCCAGTCAGGATTTTAAAAAATAAATAAATAAATGAAATGACTGCCCTTAAATTGGTAAACCAATTCCAGTCGCCATAAAGTCTTAAAAAAAAAAAAAGAAAAAAACCAGACGTCTTCTAAAACTCTTTTATGAGCACACGTGGTGAAACTGCTGCAAATATTATTGTTTGTGAGTAAAATGTAAATTCGTGCTCTTGTGTTCACCTGTGAGTTTTTCTTTAAAGCCAGTGATTGCATTTGAAACCTGCAATTCTCAACAAAAAGAGAGAAGTTCAGTGCTGATTGCTGGATATTTGGACCTCCCAGCGCAAACATTAACTGGCTGAGAGGCCCTCTGGAATGCAGCGAAGGGGGCGATGCCGGGAGGAGAGCCAAACCCAGAACGCTGGGCCGGGAACCAGGGATTTGCCTCCTGGTAACAGGAGCTGAGCTGCCCTGCACTTCTGTTAGACTGGGAATGACATAGCGTGATCCTCGACTTAGCCAAAGGGATTTTAAATGGAGGGAAGAGCTGGCCAGACAAAATCTCCTGCAGTTTTCACAGCGTTTTCTAAAGCAAGCAGAGGAAATAAGGAGAAAAGACTGAAGTCTATTACATTTGATCCAGTTAAGTCAAGAGTGGAAGCTTTTTAACTGCCGTTATTATTTTTTTGGTACATTCTCATCACGCCCCACCACCCAGAAAGCACAGACATAAAGCAGAAACTTGAAACTGCTTTCATTCACGCAGAAGGGCACCCCAACATTGCATTATTGACAGGAGGGCTAAAACACTGACAGCTGCAGGAATTGTACAGTTGAAGTTCAATTCCCCAGAGTGGGAACGATATACTGATGGTATTAATTCTGTTTGGAATTGTTAAAACAAGAAAAGGTTACGGGGCTGAGTGAGGGACCTGCCTTTTCTTCCCGCGAACAAAGGCATACCTTGTATCTTCCCTGGTGTCCTTGGAATGTCATTACCAACCTTTTGAAACTGTATCTGATTATCCATGTGGCAATTAATCATAATTAAGCAGGCCTGAGGTTTGGAGAGGTAGGAATAAGGTGGCTGAGAGCTGGCTTTGGCCCTGAGAAGCCCCTTCCCCGGTTTTGGCTACAGAATCTCCTGTTCTGGAGCTCCGAGGAAGTGTTGACAGGTGGAGAGAGGTGAGGCAGGGGACGGTATAGACATTCGCAGGGTCGGGCCCGTCACCAGCTCCCCTCTCTACCTTTCCCTTTCTTTGGCGACCGCAGCTCCTCACCAAGCTCCAGCATGTTGGAAGCCAGGTAACAAATTACCCCTCTAATGCCAAGTGATTTGGACCCATTCTTACAAACCAGATTTTTTCAATTTATTACAGGAAAACATTCAATCATTATATGCTGGCACCGGGTCTGGGGCACATGGAATTCTCCTCTACCCACTCCACCCCCAACGAGCATTTTAAAAGCTTAGCAAGCCCAGAATGCCGTCTTATTAAAATTTTTTATATATTTATAATTAAAATACGGGGCTGGCATTCAAATCGTTTTAACAGATGTAATCGGACACGCAAGGCTTTCCCGAGCCCAGGTCAGGCGAGAAACAATGGTTGCTTTAACTCCAGACTTGGGCTCGGGTTTCTGTTTGCACATGGGCCCAATTTGTACCATTTATGATTAGGTTTAAGTAAGTTGATGTGCTATTTATTTAGGAGAATTGCCATTTCAGAATATTGCCATATTCCCCCAACAACCCCACCGCCTGTGACTGGATTACGGCTGTACAGAGCGCAGCCCTCGCTCGGCGCAAACAGCCACTGCCCGTGCACCTGGCCTTCTGGGTGACCTACGGAGGTGGCTGGGCTGGGGGCTTGTGCATTGTGTTTACAGAGAAGATGACAGCTCAGATGCTGGCCCCTGAGACTTGGCATGCTGCAGGCTGGCACGCAGGGGCAGCGGGGGTCACCCTGAACACGCTGTCCGAGCCTGCAGGGGTAGGGCAGGCGGAGGGCCTGGGGCCCGCACATCTCCCAGCTTTGCCCCTGCCCATCCCGAAGGAGGAGGAAGCATCTGCCCAGGAGGGCGAGGGTTTGCCCCAACCCTTCCTCTCCTCGATGCCATATGAAACTCGGATGCTTTACAGTATCAATTGGTGTGAATAAAGAGACCCATTTCCTCTACCGCCTGTGTATTAAGTTTCTCCTCAGAAGGCGAGAAGCCAGAGGAGCTGCCTGTTCCTCCACAGCCCACCCTGCCTTGTGCAGTCGACGGCCCCTTACCCAGTTCTCCTCTGGCTTCTGAGTGGCCTCAGCAACCCCTGGGGAGCCCGGGCTGGGGCCTTCACTCACACTGCTCCCCACGGGAACACTCTTCAGTCCTTGCTGCAGCCCCTTCAAATCCAGGCCTCTCTGCTCTAGAGATTTCCTCTGTGCACACCTCAGCCCCCCAGTCTGGCCAGGTGTCTCAAACCCACCCAGCCTCGTCCTGTAAAGGGCAACTGACCTCAGCCTATTCTCCATGCAGATGTGACGATGACCTTTGGCTTTTTGGCTCACACACCTATGCTGTGGCAGGGAGGTCTGTGTCCTCATTCCCAGGCACTTCGGTTTCCTGGAGAGATTTCTCAGGCAGCAGGGTGGGAGGTGGGGGCTAGAGGAGAGCTATAGATCTCGTGTCCCTAGACGGAAGCTCTTGTGTCCCCACCCCCCATGGCTCAGTGAGTCCATGTCACCCTCAGTTGAGGCAATGTGGGCCCCACTCTTCCAACAGCCCCACGCCGACCCTGGGAGCCAGCCGCACAGGGCCGTCAAGCTGTGGCCTCCTCTCCTTGGGCACATGGCCCTCGTAGCTGACCCACAGCGTCCCCTTCCCGGGCTCCCTTTCCCGTGTATGGACAGATTCCATTTTCCAGCTGATTGCCCTTTGTCACTTGTTGGGTCAGGCCCTTCCTGGAGAAACAGCAGGGCTGTCAGGGGATGTGGGTGCCAGGGCTCGGGATTGCAAAAATCTGCTTTTCACTTTGAGAAAACCCTGGTCCCCAGACACCCCTTTCCCCTTCATATCTGGTTTAACACGTGATCAGCAGCTGGAAATCACATAAAGATAAATTAATAACCACAATTCAGATGCTTTCCAAGAGAAACAGTTATGGAAGGAAAAAGAGAAAACAGACGTCTGACTCACTCTCTCTGGCTCCAGTTACCTCCCATCTTCCTAAAGATAATGACAGCATTGTTTGTCTTTCTAGTCTCAAACACAGATAAGATAAACACTTCAGGGGGAAGGGGAGCATTGAGCCCGAAATCGGGGCTCTGCTTCACTGCCATAGGCCTGCGAAGGCCCCTTGGTTTCTGGAGGTTGACTGCTTCAAACGCTGCCCTCCAAACGGCTGCTCTGGCCCTGCCCTGGTGGCAGCGATGCCTGTGCGGAAACCCAAGGTCCCTCTGTCCAGTACCCTGGGGAAAGTCGCAGGTGTGGCCAAAGAGTCACAGTGATCCCCTGGAGAAGGTGCTTCCACAATGCTCTAAATTTTGCATATGATCCAAGCTTTGGTTTGTGGATGAAAGACAGGGCCTCCCTAGATCTGGAGATGAAGGGTCTCTGGTTCACTTAGTAAGATACAGAGCTCCGCAATTGCTGTTGTGTTTAGCAGCAAGTCACCCCCAAATCTACACCCAGAACTCCTCAGAAAACTGTCAGCGAGCCACACCTCCCCGGCTGCCCTCCCTTCCTGTTTCTCTGGCAGCTGCAGGTGGGGACATGTGTGGCCTGACTCCAGACCTGAGAGTGTCTCCTGCGCTAGGCTACTCTGAGGGATGGAGAAAATCTCAGTGACCTTTACAAGTTTTGTCTATAAAAGTTTTTGTTATAGCTTGTATTTAGATTATCTACATTAAATTTAAATTTAAAAAATTCTATTTTTGCTGAAAGGAAACTAATTACCTGTGGGATTAGAATTAGCAGACATGATTGGACGTGGATTTACTTAGGAGGCAAACTTGATACCACTGGGATCCAATCCTCTTTCCTCCCCTTTCTCTGCCTGTCACCCCTTTGATTTAAGCTTTAAGTTCTAGCTTCCATTGACTTCTCCTCCTGGAGGTGTGGGGACAGCAGAAAGAATGAAGACGGAGGGGGAAGCAAAATCAAATGTGTGATGAGGCATGACTGCCCCACAGACAGGAAATATCGGGTCCCTGAGATCCCGAGAAGGAGAGACAGTCTCAGAGGGAGGCAGAGGCCTGAGTCACGCAGTCTTGGCTGTGGCAGGAGAACAGTGAACTCTGGGCCAAACGTCCCAGTGTCCCATCAACTTGTGGAGAGGAGGAGTCTCTTAAGGCATCCTTGGGCATCTTTGGGTGCTGGTGCCTACCCCGGTTTCCATTCTCCTGCCTTTGAGTCAGGGCCTCTGACGTGTACTGTGGCTTCTCCCATCCCTCTCACAGGGGCCCCTGTCTGGGAGGATAGAGAGTGGGGTTTGGGGGGCACAGGGGCCAGCCCTGGGGTTCCACACCCACCTCTTGTATCCAGAGCAGTACCCCTCAGCTGGGCTGCGCCTCTCTGCTCCCAAAGCCTCCCCTTTGCCACCCGCGTGAGGACAAGGTCAAGGTCGGGAATACCTCCTCTGTCATGATGTTTAACTGCCTGAGAGACATTCCGAGCATTTAGCTTTTGTAGACTTGGAATCAGAACATCAGAAACCCAACATTCACTCCCATTCCTGTCTCCCCAAAGTCTTTCTCGCATGAACCAACAGGAACCTTGTGTGGATTTAAACAGACATCCAATTGCTTGGACGTCATCAAACTTTGGAAAAGTATAACCTTTTGTCTCTGAGGGGGAAAAAAAAAGAAACTTAACTGATCTATATAAAAGGCTCAAAAAAAACCTTCTGGAAATTCATTGCCATCACCATTTTGATGTAACGGTTATCCAGAACAGAGGATGTAAGGACGACCTTCCCCACGTTTATGTTAACGCACGGGGACGTTTTTGGCTGGCGTGCTTTATCAGGAAACAATTTCCACAGAAATCCCGACACGGTTCTAAGTACTCTCACACATTCTGGATCCACTTCCATCCATAAAACTTAGTGTTATGCTCAGTTTTCCCCTCAAGATGTGAAAGTCGTTGCCATTCTGAGAGCTCAGATGACCTGCAGGTGCGCCTTCATTGTGGGGCCTGCTCCTTACGACACTCACTCGGGCCTCCTCTTTCCAAGGAGTTTATGTTTCAAGTGAAACATGGGGCGGGCGGGCTAAGTCATAAGGGACGAGGAGGAGTTCCAGAACTGTTCACGCCTTCGCCATAATCCTGCAATATATTAGGAAGAAAGTACAAAAACACATGCCTGGGGGAGGCAGGGCTCCCCCGCTGGCTCATCCATCAGGTTCCCCCACTCTCACCCCCAGGGATGCTCTGCTACTGGGTGTCCTCCAAGACGCTGGCATGGCCCAGAGGTTTTCCCACACTGACTCCTTTCTTTAATTTGTGGTGTAAAGTCAGCATGGAAAGGTCTCTAGTTTTGATTTTCCAGATCAGAAGGCAGGGAGAGGAAATTGACTCGAGCTAGATGGATTGGGGGTTCATTTGTTTTTAAACAGTTAACACAATAGGAAACAAACTTCCAAAATCTCAAAATGTGAACATTTTGCTTTGGGAAGAGTTTAAACATTGGGACTTAAACTCAACGCAGAGATCAGGAGGGAAATACACCAAAATTTCAAGGAAACTGAGATTCCCGGATTCAGAATCTGTCATAAGTCACTGAATATTGGTGGGTATTTCTGACTCCACACTGGGTCTACAAGGAATAAATAAGCCCTTTTCATGCACTTGTTTGAGATGACATGCTGACTGAGACACAAGATATTTGCACCAATAAAAGCAGCACTTTTTATTTATGAAAGGTCTTGAAATGAATTGTGCTTATGGGGAGAAGGGGGCAACAATTCTGCAGACCTATAAAATCATGTTTATGTTCATTCTCTAACTGAAAATATTTTAGAGAGTAGAAATGGAAGTGTGATGTGAACAGACCCTTCTCTGCAAGGGAAAGCACTAATTTCTTCAACTGGTAGCTGATAACAGACAGAGCAAATGTCACATTTTCCTGGGAACAAACGGACCTTGGGCCCCACTCCTCTGTGTAGGCTCCGAGACCTGACTTTCTGGGGGGCTCTTAGCCCCCTGTCTGAAGCTTTGGGGATTATAATAGGTTGGCATTCACCTAAATTTAGCATGTGCATTACTGGCTTCCTGATATGTTTTTAAGTATTCTATTAAAAAAACAAATCGGAACCAAACAAAAAAGAATAAAAAAAGAAAACAAAGCACGGTGTGAGGTTGGTTAGGAACAGTGTGTGCTGATAAAGTAACATCTAATAATTTGCATCTAAAATGTGTGCACACACTCTGCACCCAGTCGTAGTCTTGTGCCGATTCCTGATTCTGCTACTACCTATACATGTTGACCTTGAAGCCCACGGTGACTAACACATGCCCTTCCTTCCCACAGAGTTTTAGCTTTCACAGTAAAGAAGACTTAGACAAAGGTTTGCGCATAAGAACATCAAATTCATTTAAGCATACAACTGAGTTCCTTACTAATTCATCTCTTGCTTGGCTGAATTTAGTTGTCAAGTAGTCCTTTTTGTTTAATTTTGATTTGGTTCATCTTAAAAGGAATCATGAATGCTGTATAAGAAGACAGTTAATGTGTCCATCTTGGGCAATGTTGTGTAGAATCTTTGTAGGTAGAATCATGCCTTTTTTGATTTTTTTGAGAAAAACTGTCACTTTTTTGCCCTTGGGAAAGTGCCATGGCCTCACAGCAACCTCAAACTCTTGGGCTCAAGCGATCCTCCTGCCTCAGCCTCTCAAGTAGCTGGGACTACAGGCACCCACCACAATTCCTGGCTAGTTTTTCTGTTTTTATTAGTGACAGGGTCTCGCTCTTGCTCAGGCTGCTCTTGAACTCCTGAGGTCAAACAATCGTCCAGTCTCAGCCTCCCAGAGTTCTAGAATTACACACATGAGCCACCATACCTAGCCCAGGATCCTGCCTTTCTTTACCATTGAGTATTGTAAATAAGAAATACCTTGAAGTTCAACTTCTTCCTGGATGCTGTTTCCACTAGGACTGTGGCTGCAAATGAAGGATCTCAAAATATCTCAAGAGAGAAGAGGTAGTATAATGATTTGATCATTGATTCCAAATGGATCTGGATCTAGGCACTTAATAATATTGTGAGCTCATATTCCTTTAAAAAAAAATCATTCTTTCACCTTTGTTGATTTCATGCTTAATCTGACTTCCTAAGGGTGGCAAAGTTGATTATCAGGAGTTCAGCAACCATCACAGAGAGAGGCCCTCACTTCCAAGGAATGGCCTGGCGCTCACTCTCACCAGGCCAGTGCCACCTGGAGGCGGCCTGTTAGCCAACCACACTTGGGGGCTGGTGCAC